GCAGGGCTCTGGTGGCCCATGGCAGCATCCTGGCTGTCTTCCCAACTAAGCTGGATTTCTTGGGTAGGTACCATATTTGCCCATCTCTGTCTTCTGTGAACCATGCAAGACTGGATTAAGGAAGAGTTTTGGGGTGAGTTCTCTGAATGCCTCAGTGAGTAAACACATAGCTTTTATGTCCAGAGAGGGTTTGGAGGTTGGAGATTATTCTACTAGAGAAGTGGGCAATTTGGAGCTGAAAGTCACCAAGGCGGCCAGCCTTTCCTGGAGCTTGGGGGTATTTATGATCTTCCCTGCTGTTTTTGGAGGCTGGGAACCAAACCAAAACTGCTACATGCTTCTGGAGACTGCTTCCACGAGGGGCTGGCAACAACTGGCTATTCTGCTGGCTCCAGTCCATGACCATGAAGGTCCTAGCCACCATTTTCTCATGATTGCCAGGCCCACACCGCCCTCACTGCACTGTCACACAGCATCAAACAAGGGCTGAGTTAGAAAACCCCTCTGAGATCAGCCAGTCATAGATCCCCATGCTTTTCAGTTGGGTCAGAGAGGAAAGTCACTTGCCAGGGTCACATAGAAAGAGAAAGGTGTAATCACACCTGAAGCAGTTCTTCAAAAAAACCTTATCAGGTAGGAAAAAAAATGGAAGGGTGGGTCTGGGGTGGCCCTGGAAGTGCCAGGCCAGGGAGAGCCTGTTGGAGGAAACCCCTGGAGCAGCTGGGCAAAGGGCAAGATGAAGGGAGGGAGGGAGCTGGCTGTTTTGAGGCCAGCCAAGAGAGGGAAAAGAGATGCAACCAAGGTCATAGGCTGCACCAAGTAGGTGAGGCCTGGTAGACATCTGCAGAGTGAAGTTTATCTGAATATCTAAACAGATATTGGACAACAGGAACATAAATGGAATTCATTAGCCGTGTGGGGGAGGGACTGAAATCAACTCATAGCAAAAGTGTATGTTCCCCTCAAAGGCACAGGATCACAGCAACATTATTCATAACACCCCCAAAAGTGGAAACAATCCAACTGCCCATCAACTGGGAAATGTAGAAATAAAATGTGGTACCCACACAATGGACTATTATTAGTCAGCTCTAGAAAGGCACGCAGTACTGATATACATTACAGTGTGATGGGCCATGAAAACACTGTGCTAGGTATAATAAGACAGTCACAAAAGGTCACATGTTGTAAGACAGCATTTATATGAGATGTCTAGAACAGGAAAGTCTATAGAGATAGATGGGAGTGAGGAATGGAGTGGGAGATAACTGCTAATGTGTACAGGTTTCTTTCAGGGATGATGAAAATGTTCTAAAATTCAATAGTCACATAACTGTGAATATGTTGAAAACTCCTGTCCTTCACAGTTGATGTGGGTTAGTTTTATAGTATATGGTGGCACAATTCACTGAATATATTAAAATCATTCACTTGTACAGTTTAAATGAGTGAATTTTATAATATAAAATTTTATGGTTGAAAAAAGAACACCCTGGTTGCTGGAGGTATGGAGTTGAAGCAAGGGGCCAGGAAGCCCAGCATACAGGGATGTTATCCCTGGCTTCAAATGTTAGATGCCAGCACATCCCTCCCCACATTGTGACATCCAAGTTTGTCTCCAAACACTGAAAAAGTCCTCTGGAGTGTGAAATGATCCTCAGCTGACAACTTATGGTCTAATCTTCCTTGCTCACCTGCTGATTCTTGCTCATCCTTGCAGAACCATTTTGAATTTCTCCTCTGGGCAGCCCTGACCTTGTAACCCCCAGGCCTCCAGTTCCTAAGCATCTTATCTAGGCTCTGAGAACACTCCACTTTCTGCCCACCCTGCTAGACGTCTGTGCACCTCCTGAAGAGATGGTGCCTTATGCTGGCTCCCCAGAATTCAGCACAAAGCCTAGCACACCATGGTCTAGGGAGCCATTTCCTAACCTGTGTGGGCCAGACATATCACTTCTCATGGGGCCTTAAGATAGCTGCTTAGGTGTTGGTGAGCAGACTGCACATGCCAAATGCTATTGGTATATTGGTATTTATTAATTTAGCATTCTCTCTCCCAAGTCATGTCCAGGCCTCCACACAGGTGTGCCGGCGTGCCCTTGTCATTGATAAGCATGCATATATAGCAAATGTCTTTGATAACCTTTGGGAAGAGCAAACATGTTCACAGGCAGAAATTGTGGAGCCTTGCACAAGGGGCTGTAGGACATGTAGGTTCCATGCCCCCCTCTTTGGGGATCCCTTGGGGACCCATAAGTGTGAACCACAGGAGAACCATGCATGCCAGTCTAAGGACTTTGGACCGATTTGGGAATGGGGAGCTTACAAATATTTTTGAGCAGGGAACAGCATTTTCAGATCTATATTACCAAACTGACAATAAGACAAAGAATATATCAGAACCTGGGTTGGGAGGACAAGACAGGAAACTGGAAGATGGTGACAGATTCGACCTGCCAAACACTGCCTTGGAGACACTGTCTCCAGAGGGTCTGGAAGCCCTCGGAGGTTTAGCACCCATTCACAAAACCAATGCTGCCTTTTCTCATTCATTCCCTCCCTTCCTTCAGCCATTCTACCACATTGGAAGCCAGACAGGCTTATGTCCACTGATTATTAAAGTATATGCTCGCTGCATAAAATCTGAAAAGTCCAAGGACAAATTTCCCCTCACCTGATCACCTACAAGCAGACATTGAACCTTCTTTAGACTGTTTCCCTCCTGTCTTTTTTCTAAGCTCTTGCCAAAAATCTGGGGCCATGTTGTATCTACCCAATGCATAAGCCTGTTCTCATTCATTCAAAACTCTCCATCTTTAGTAATGACATGGCTGCCCCTATCGTTGGACATTTAGGCACTCTCTGATTTCTGGTGACTATCTTGCAAACTGAAAGAATCTTTGCTCTCACCCCCATCTTTTCATGTGGATGTGTTCTTCTTTTAAAAGCTTTTTGGCAAAGAAACCTTTCTGGCCTGCTGAGACATCCTTACTCCCATCATCAGGGATTTCTTTCCCAAGGATGAGCTAAATCCTTGAGATTGGAACTTAATCCTGTTTTTACTACTTTGGGACACTGGTGGAGGAGGATCACAGCTGGGTTTGTTTTCCCCATGGACAAAGCAGCTGGGAGAGTCTCCAGATCCACTGGAGACAGTGTCTCTAAAAGCAGTGTTCGCCAGATTGAATCTGTCATCATCTTCCTGTCTGTCTGGTTCCTCTAGTTCTGATACTTATCTCATTGTCAGTTTGATAATACAGATCTGAGCAAGCAGGTGAGTACAGGGGGCCACCAGCCTAGGAGAGAGGGAAAGAGCCCACCTGGGAACCCAGGATAACACGGCAAAGCTGAGCTATAGGGGTAGAAGCTAGTCGGGACAAGATGCTAGAGGAAAGAAGCTGGGTGCTGAGGCGGGTCAGTGTGGTATCCGTTTTCTCTGGGATGCTGAGTAGTGACCTTCCCTCCTTCCTTTCTGATCTTTAGAGGAAATGCTTGGCAAAGGTGCCCAACTTCCACTGGCAGCCAGGGGACACCAACAGTGAATGTATAACAATTACACATGGAAGAAGGAGGGAACCATGGCTGGTCAAAGTGCATGCTGGGTACCAGGCTTGGGCTCTGCATTTCACAGTCACGCTTGTGGGCAGGGCCAGCATGACACCCAGCAGCATCACCCTGCAGTCAGGCAGACCTGAGGCCAAATCCTGCAGCAGAGACTACTTGCCGTGGAGAGCCTCAGTTTCCCTTCTGTAAACTGGGGGGTTAACAGCACTGGTTCCCTAGGACTGTTGTGGTGACTGTAGTCAATATTGTACACCAAACGTACCTCATGCCAGGCCTGGCCAGAAATGCTATTTTCTTATTTCTCTTCATATCTAGTTCCCAGATGTCAACAAATGTAATCTACTCAAATGTCTTTGATAACCTTCAGGGAGCACAAACATGTCCACAGACAGAAATTCCTAAACTTTCTCATGTAAATAAGAAAGGTGAGGCTTGACCAAAGCTGTCACTGAGCCATGTCACCACCCGGAGTCTAAGGTGAGAGGTGGAGCTCTTGGGGTCCTCCAGCTCCCTGCTCCAGGCTTAGCTCCACACACTGACCATTTGTGATAAAGGAGATGGAGGGGACCTGCACATACAAAAGATCTCCCTCAGACAACCAGTGTCATAAGTTAGGTTATGTATGACAGTGACCAATGGATGAGGACACCACAGCTCACAGGCACTGTGAGCCCTGTCTACATTAGTGGGGACTTTGCACAGAGAAGGAAACTGAGGCTAGCAGGGTCAAGGTCACTGGACTGCTCAAGAGGCCAAAGTGGGAATCAGAGTCCAGGCCACTTCCCCACTTTTCCTAAAGATGCATAGTTACCAGATACCCAAGAGGAGGAATCCCTCCCAGTTTAGTGCAAGAGGGTCCTTGCTCCCCAGCATGAGCATGCATCAGCCCTGGTGGACCAGGGCCAGGCGACCTATTCCTGAAAAACTAGACTCCCTCTTTCCCATCAGCCCCAGACTACACCGCTGTCCATGAGCAGAAAGTGGCTCCCAGCTCACACACTCACCCATCAGGCGAGCAATGCCACCGCCCAGACCTAGGGACAAAGCAATCCTTTAGGTGTAAGTACATTACCCAAATCTACCCCTAGCAGGCGGAGAGGGCGGAAAGCTGACACCACATCCTTCCCTTGGCCGTAAGGGGCTGGAAGCCTAAGCTCACAATGCCTCTTTGGGAGCGGGTATGACCCCTGAGGGTCAGTCACAAGGGAAGAAACCGAGGCAGACGCACTAGCCCAAGGTCAGGTACAGCCAGCCAGTCCTGGTGCAACCTGAGGTCTAACTGAGGATTGGGGTCACAACAACGCACATTGGGGATCCCAGACCTGGCACCTAACGCAACCCGGCCAGAACCTCCCACCACCTCACCCGCGTCCCAATCTAGAGGCAAGGTCTCTCGGGGGGCGGCGGGGGGCGGCGGGGGGCGGCGGCCACCTTACCCCGTGCGGCTGCTGCTGTGGACTCGCGGACGCGCCACGGTCTGGACCCAGTCGCTTCAGATGGTGCCGCATACACTGGGGCAGGGATGGAGCTGGCAGCGCGCGCCTTGCACCCACTTCCTCGTCCCCGCCCCCAGCTCCCTCCCCTCCCCTCCCCCTCTCTAACTCTCTCCTTCTCTGGACACTGCCCCCTTTCCCTTCCTCCTTCTCGGTCCTTCTTTCCTTTTACATTTGCTTCTTTCACTCGCATAACCCACCAGCGCACACTGGCTTTTTCCTCTACTACTCCCCACACTGACCTACACACTCTAGGTAGCCCCCTGGCCTGAGACCCTGCCCACCTGTGTGCACAGTGTCAGGGAGGACAGTCCTGTTGTTGCCCACTTGACCTCTGGCTTGAGCTCTGACATTAGGCCATAAGTGAAATACTTTACCTTGAGTGCCAGGGACCCAATCACTGGAAGCAGGTGAGGAGGGAAAAAAGAACTAGTTTGGAAGGAAAGGCTTGGAAAATCCTGGGGTCTGGAAAGACAGGTCTAAACAGAAAGGATTGGTGGAAACCAGTTTGTCCAGGGTTTCAGGTGGAAAGAAAGGACAGGGAGATGGGCCTCTGGAAAATGACTTTTTGGCTAGGAAATAAGGCCTATCTGTCAGATAAGAAAGGTGAGGTCCAGATGGAAAGCCCCATCTCCTGGATGTGGAGCTGTCACTGCTTAAGGTGGTGTGTCAGGCAGTAGCAGAGTCTGAAATTCACAACCACCTGAACCTCTTACTTTTGTTGTCCTTTGTCAAGCTTCTGCAGAAAACCTTCTCCATATATCAGATTCCCCAAGCATCCAGGAGCAGATCATCAGATAACCTGCCTCCCTATGCTAGACTGCTACCCCTATGCCTCACTCAGCACTCTGGCCATCCTACCTGTCCTGGCAGGCCCCCTTCATTGAGGTCCATGTGGTAAGCAAGGGGCAAGCGCCTTCACCTATGAGCCTGTTTCTTCCTTTGTGACCATATGGGACCATGCTCACCCCACTGGGGCATGGTCAGTCAAGGATGCAGCCTGGGTCAAGGCCATACAAGGACTGTTAGGTCAGCTTCATGTGCCCTCTGCTCACCAGGAATATATTTAGAAAGTCACCAGTGCCAAGCCAGTCTGTTTCCAAGCTGTTCTGAACTCCTTTCTTGTTTGCAATTCACAAATCAGCCCAGGTCATCTCTAAAAAGTACAAGTTGGATCATGTGTCTCTAGTCCCTGCTTCCAACCCTCTCACACTTCCTGTTGTCAGAATTGAATCTAAGCTCCTTATTATCTACAGGTCCTCTGTGAGCAGCAGACTCACCTATCCAGGAGTGAGGTCACTATCAGTATACACTCGGAGCTTTCTCCTGGAAAGATAATGATGCTGTGACTTGTTTGGTCACTGGGGTGTTGGTGGACATGGCATAGGCTTCAGCAGGAATCTGCCCTGTTTCTTTCCCATCTGCCATAGTTCTGGTGCTATTTGGATGATATTCTAGGAGAAGCTATTCCTTTGTGTGGGTCCCCAGTGAAGAGGCATTATCAATAAGAGGTCAATTTCTTGAAAGCTCTTACAATTTCTGGAATCATCTGATCTTGGATGGTCATGATCCTTTCAGTACCTCAATGAGTCATAGACTCAGTCAGGCTGGTTCTAGCACTCACTGAGTGGGATGGATGGATATTCCAAGATGGCTGTCACAGTTCATCCCAGGCTCCTGTGCAAAGGAAGGGACCCTTCTATCAGGGGTTGGAGTCTATACTCTGCTCCATGAATCTGGGTCAGCCTTCCAGCTTGCTTTGGTCAACAGCCGCTAGTTGTGCTGTGTGGCTTTGAGGTCAGGACCAAGATACCTTGTAGCTTGAGCTTTCCCCCTCTGGGAATGGTGCTGCAGGCCACCATGCTAAGCAGATGCCTAGGATGACAGACTAGCTGGAGAGAGATGTTCAGCTATCAGAACTGCCGGGTGAATGCAGACACATGAGCAAGTTCAGGCCAGGCTGACATAAGAATCACCAGTCAACCAGCAGACAAGACAAGCCTCTTGTTTTAGGCAAGTATGGTGTGCCATGTTTTGTTACACAACAGGAACAACTATAGAAGCAGCCTTTGGGTATCAGCTCCTGTCTTTGAATCTCTTTCCTGGCTTATAAAATCAGTGTGATAGTAACGTAGAGTTTTGATGAGGCCCAAACTGAGAAAACTAGAGAAAGAAGAGAAAGTCAAGTGTGGTGAGCCCCTACCTGTAATTCCAGCACTTGGGAGGCAAAGACAGGAAGATCCGGAATTCAAGATCGTCCTTGCCTACATAATGAGTTGAGGCCAACCTGGACTCTATGAGACTCTGTCTCAAAAAATAAATACATAATTTAAATTACTATTTATTCAACAAATGTATACCGAATGCAGCTGTGTATATGTCAGACACTAGGTCTATGTTTTGATAGAGCAGCAAATGAGGGACAAGGATTTGCTGTTCTAAATGGAGATGGAACCTGCCAGGTAGTTTTGTCTAAAGGAAGTTATTGTCAGGAATTTAAACAGGGTGATGTAGCTGAGAGTGTCTGAGGCACTTTGTTTAGCATCCCTAGGGAAGGTTTTCCAGACTGTGTGGCATTAGAACTGAGCCGGTCATAAGCAACAGCACAACAGCTTCTGCATGGGAAGAAGAGCAGCAAGTTCAAACACCTTGAGGTAGGGACAACCTTCGCCTTGATGTTGGAACAGAGAGAGATCAGTATGGCTGAGTGTATGAGGGACGGGAGCAATGATCAGTGATGGGATTGGTGTAGGACCTTGGAGGCCATGGAGTTAGACTTCAATGCAGTCTGAGCCACGGGAGGTTGGGAGGGATGCCATATCCTGCGTGTACCCAGAAGCAGGAATGCTGGAAGCAATTCATGATCAGCCACCCAATGGTTCAGGGTGATGCTTGCGACTTTTCCAGCTCTGAAAATCTCTGGCTCAGTTCTAGATTGATCAAAATGCCTTTGGAAGCTGCTAAGCACTTTCATTGTAGGTGTCCCTGTGGTGTATAACAAGAGCTGCATCCCCACTCAAGGGCTCTGGAGGCTAACAGCTCCAAATCCCCCTTTGCTCTGAGTATGTAAGCGTCTTCTTGCAAAGGGAGCCGGAAGAAGCCTCTCATTCTAAGGAAACTCAAACCACTGTTTGACCAAAATAGAAAGGAAAAGAAAAGGTTTCCCCCCCCTCCTTTGGAATGAGTAATCACTGCTGAGTCTGACTGCTTGAAGTTGAGAAAAAGAAAAAGAAAAAGGAAAAAAAAAAAAAACCAAGCCCAACAATTAAAATGTTGAATGATATAGTATGGTGATACCATTTAATAAAGTGGTCTGTGGAAAATTCTGTTAACACCTGTTGGTTTTTGTCACTGGGTATTTCCTGTGGTGGCTCTGGGTTTGTGGCAGGGCACCTCAGGCTGAGGTTGGAATGCCGGCAGAATTTGTTGGTCATCGTGTGCTGGAAATCTTGAGATACAGTTAGGGTCTCACAGCTGGGCATCTCCAGTTGAATGCAGCTAGTTCCTGTCCCTGCGTTCACCTGTGGGACACAGACCTGGCCATTTCCCAGCATGCATCTGCACAGTGCTCCAGTTCTGGCTCACAAGACAGGAAGAAGCACCATGTGTAGAGCATTTGTGCATCTTCTTAAATGATTCTCTCCATAGCCCTGTAAGTACCACCATTTCCTCCACGTTACAGAGAAAATGGAGGCTTACCAGAGTAAGAGTAGTCTCCCGCTCCCCATAGCCGTAGCTCACGATTCACCCAACTGCAGTCCTGCTTTTAGACCCCATGTTGTTTTAACCCACTGTCTCTGTGAAATAGACTGTTCTGTGAATCTTGGAATAGGGAGTGATTTAGCCCGGAGTGGAGAGGGAGCCAGGAAGTGACTTTATAGTAGGCCTGGATTCCTGAATATGACAGCTCATCAGATGGGTGGAGGGAAATTCTAAGCAGAGATAAGGCAAAGGAGATGGTATGACTTGAATGTGATTTGTCTCCCAAGTGTTTCAGAGGGTTGGTTCCTGCTGTGGTGATGTGAGAGGTGGGGCCTAGTGGGAGGTTCTTAGGCCAGCTGGGAGCTGACTCTGAAGAGACTGAAGGGCCTCAGTCTCACCCTGGCTTCCTGTTTGTTGATATAATTTCTGGCTCTTGCATGTGCTCCTGCCCAGTCTCCCTTGAGGTCCTCAGCAAGGCCAAGCACATGCAGAGCTGTGAACTAAGTACCTTTTCTTTTTAACAGCCCTGTAGTATAGCATGAGTGTAAGCATGCACAGGGCTCTGAGTTCAATCTCTAGCATGCATGCATGTGTGTAATGAAGGAAGGAAGGGAGGGGGAAAGGACAGAAAGAAGAAACGGAAGGAGGGGGCAAGGAAACAAGGAAGGAAAGAAAGAAGCTAGGGAGGGAGGGAAGGAGGGAGGGAGGAAGGAGGAAGGGAAGAAGGAGGAAGGGAGAGAGAAAAGGGAGGGAGGAAGGGAGGGAGGAAAAGAGGGAGGGAAGAGTTTGGTGAGCTTCTCAGGTTCTGGAGTTTGAGATGATGGAAGACGCAGTACACAGCACACGGGAATCACTCAGAGCCTCCAAGCACTGCCTCCCAGGAATTGTTTTCTCTGTCTTTCTAGAAGCACACTGTTTAAGTCCTCCCATTCTGTAGCACATTGTAGAAGAGAGGGGCTTAATAGCTATCCACTGAAAGAATGAGCGCTCCATCCTTTGTTTTCTTTATTTAAATGTTTTTTGATTCATTAATTTTTTATTTTATGTATATGAATGTTTTCCCAGCATGTATGTAACTACACCACGGCCATTCAATGCCTTGGAGGCCAGGAAAGGGTGTTGAGTCTCCTAGAACTAGAGTTACAGATAGGTTTTAGCTGCCATGTGAGTGCCGAGAACTGAACTGGGTCCTCTGCAAGAGCAGCCAGTACTGTTCACTACTGAGCGGGCCATCCATCTCTCTAGCACCATCTCTTTGTTTTCTTTCTTGGACATTTTCTTGGCTACTTTTGAACATTTTTTCTCCTAAATTAATCGTAATTAATTTGTTAAGATCTTCCAAGTACTACCGGGATTTTTAAAAT